GGTTCTACTATCCAAAGCCTCTGGACACCAAAATGCTAGATATATGATGCATAAAACATATGTATGTAACCAGAGCCACTCTGGTCCTACATCATGGGTTGTCCATGCTTAACCAAACACTCTTGTTTATCTATCCAAGGCTCATTATACATGCAACCCTACAATTCTTCGATGAACTCATTCATCATGCGAAACCAGAGACCTCTGGTTCCTCATCCCTAAAGGGTATGTTTAACCACATACCTCTGGTTCCCCATCCAATGACTCATGTCCAACCAGAGCTCCTCTGGTTTTATGATAAAACATTTATTTTTTCCAAAAACCCATCTTAATTGCAACCTCTTTAAAGATTTTACAAAATTGCAGCTTTTGTGACTAAGAACTATACTTCATGGGTTTTTAGAAGACCAAAACTTCATAATTAGTATTAATTTTACAATTAGATGGAATTTAAAAATTGTTTTTGGCACGATATTTCAAAAGATATTAGTTGGGATAACTTTTAAATTACTCCAAATAACTCAAACGTCACCTGACACAAAAACATGCCATATCAACAGGCTGTTCCCCATAAACCTCTTCACATTACCCATTCACCCTTCCCATGACGACACGTGTCCTCCAACATTAATGGCATAGAACCGTCACGATGGCCCACGATCCCCACCAAATCACCTTTTTGCCAAACGTCTTTCCACTATCATGATTACCATTTAAATATTTCTTTTTGCCTGTTCCCCTCCTCCATCTATAAATACCCATCTTTCCCACACCTTTTCCTCTTTACGCTCCCAAAACCTGCAACTACATACAAACGATCCAAAAAAAAACTCAAAACCTGCAACCTCAACTTGCAATGGCATCCTCCGCCTCTAATGAATCAAACAACAACGACAGCCATGTGCAATCCACCGGTGCCGATAGCCGCACACTAGTGTTCCTTTCCCTAAAACCAAACAACCACATGATCGACCTTCGCACCGACCTATTTGACGCAAAGTATGCCATCATGATTGACGTGCATTGATGTTAGTCGACAATGGAGTACCGTTCAGGTACGTCCAACAGTACTAGCAGACTCCCCGACAGCCGTGGAATCATGGGGGATATTGACGCTCCAAACGACATGATCTGTTCTGTCAAAATCTCTCGGGCAAAGGTCTGTAGAGTCCTTTGCATTCCCACACGCCAAGAACTTGACATTGATCACTATGTCGAACTACCCACGAGCTCCGATATCCTCTGCTTTATCCACATGCTAGGTTACAATCGTGACCTACGCAATGCCTCTGACTTTAAGAGGCAATTCCTACCCCACCCCAATGCGGAATATGTTCTTTTCCATATTGAACAGGGCCCTGACCTGCAAGCTGGGATCGATGGATCAGGGCAACATCAACATAATGACTATCATGTACGACCTCTTCTTCAATCTGCCGCTGGACTATGCTGTCCTCATCTACAACGAAATCCATGCAGCGATAATCAAGAAGTGCAAGCTTCAGGACGCAGGAAAGCCACTGTCGTCCGTGCTCTTCCCACGATTCCTCGCTCTCTTCATAAGGGATGCGATGAGGAGACACGAACTCCCGGCTGATGGACCATTCACACCACAGTTCATAATGCATGGTCATCGTCAAACAATCTCCAATGACGGCTACACCATCGAGAGGATAGTCTCTCGAGCCATGCTCAGCGTCATACCAGAGACGTCCAAGAAAAGGCAGTCCTATGAACGCTCTCTGCTTTCCCAAGAACCGAGAGCAGCTACCCCATAGCACTTAGAGCCGTCCCCAGAAACCAACAAGGGAGCACATGAGTCGTCTTCATCAGATGATGATGATGACTCTCCTCGTGAATCCCCTGGCCCTTCACATACAATACCCATCCCCACTACCCAAAGGGCACCCACCACCACTACCCCCGGTGATCAAGGCCCAAGGGGTATTGAACAAGGATGACCCAGTCCAATCCTACACCCAGCCAGCCATCCAGAGGCCATTCTTCGGGCCTCTGGAGATGATACAGCCGAGGAACCCCACCATGCATCGCCTCCCTCCCAACAGAGGGGTGATGAAGAAGTAAGAGCCACTTCGCCTCATGGCTCACCACTATCCTTCAAACACCCAGAAGTATGTGTTGCTTCTGGCATTGCTGATCCACAAGATCGTTTAGAGCGATATTTTGTTCATGCACAAAATCTCGCTTCGATACTTGATCTAGCAAAGGGGACACACATCTATTTCTCTTACCCGGCCTCTAAAGCCGAGGAAGAAGAAGAAGTTGTAGCAACATCACGAGATAACTCCTCACTAAAGGGCTATCAAGGACGTGATGGAAGTCATTCATGGCCCACATTCTCACAAGACCAAGAAGGCGCCTCTGGAGCTGAGGCTCAACCTGCAGCATCCGTTGTTGCAGGGGTTACCCGTGTAGCTAATCTGGTCACAAAGGCTGTGGTCCAAGCCTTTGTGGACACGATTCAGCGGTCCGTGGATGACCTAAAACTCATCATCCAAGGGATTGTCAACAACCCTCCATCCATTGACCCAACCCCCCCATGACAATCCCTTGCAACCCTTGAAGCCCAAACCCGAGACAACACAACCTGTCTCCAAATGCTGCAACAGACAGTCACCCAACACCACAACACCTCCTTTTCGCTTGCTGATAAGTACCAATTTATTTGATACTTTTGCACTTTTTCTTCACTTTATTTACCCATTTTATTTTCCCAAATTCCACAAATTGAKTCTTTTCGGTTTGTTTTTCTATTTTTATATTGGAGCTAAGGTAATATGATAAATATGTTTACTTCTTGGATGTATGTTAATTTTTGGGGGAAATAGCCATGTTTATAGGTACTTGGCTAAAGCATGCTTCAGCACTCGCTGCAGGATGATCCAGGGGCATTCTTGAAAATAGTACGAGAATCTTTTGGGGTCATATCCTCCCTCTTTGGCAGCCCATCTCCTGCAGCTTTTGAGATCTCAAAGGACTAATTAGAGAGCTGATTTTTGACATCTTCTAGGTAGTTTTGCCTTGCCCATGGTTTTTTTCAAAAAGGTGGGTAAAAGTCTTTACCCATTGGTTTTTACCCTCCCTTCCTCCATTATATAAAGGGGGGAGGTCTAGCTTTAGAAGTATACAATTAGTAAGCAACAACCTTTGTAAACACTTGAAGTAATATGAAGGTTCTCTTAGTTTAAAGTTTCATTTGCAAGTATTTTCTACTTTCCTCTTTGTAATTCCTTTTACATTTATTTCTTTTATCATCTTTTATTATCTTAATGCTTTCCTTATTATGCTTTATTATTTATGCAATTAATATTAGTAGTTAAAATATTTTAATTCTCTTTTACGAATCCGTCGTTATATTTATTTCCTCCTTTTACTCTTCTTCTCTTAAATTTATTTACTACGCTTTATTATTATTCTTGCACTTACATTTTCTAGTATCGTTAGTTGTTTTTATAATTACGTCTA